CAAATAAGTATTGGGGGTAAGAAAAAGAAATCTGAGGAAGGTAGATGGGCTGATGACATCTTAGACTTAAGTTTTTGTTTTTTGTTTTTAAATATATTTTATTGATTTTTTACAGAGAGGAAGGGAGAGGAATAGAGAGCTAGAAACATCGATCAGCTGCCTCCTGCATAGCTTCTATTGGGACGTGCCCACAACCAAGGCACAGGCCCTTGACTGGAATTGAACCCGGGACCCTTCAGTCCGCGGGCCGATGCTCTACCCACTGAGCCAAACCAGTTTCAGCTAGACTTAAGTTTTTATGTTCCGTTAATCTTTTGTAAAACAATACCATTTGTCTATAATGTGTTTGTGATCATATTGGCCTTTCCTAAATTTTTCAAATAAATTTATCAACCAGATAATATGTTGGCATTAAGAGGAGGAACTAATTTCTCTAAAATGATAGTAACTTATTATACTCATTGTAGAGTATTACTCTACCCCCTCAAGGTAGGAGGTTTCCAGGATTAATTGGTTGATAGATTAATTTAATTACATATTGAACATGTGCAAGGCTTTTGCCAGACCCTGTAATAACATGATGACTTCTTCCATTTGATGGCAGTGTTGAGCCCGTTCACATGTCCAACTTTGTCCAAGCCCCATAGTACTCTGGGTATGTCAGCTATGTCATCCTCATGCTTTGTCCTTCCCCCATTTTTTGTTTTTGTTTTTTGTTGTTGAATTTCTGGGTACCAGGTTTGGTCTGTGCCTCCTCCACTCCTCTACCACACAGATGAGGGGGTGGTTATCTAGGGGATGCTAGTCAGATTATCTCTTGGGCATTGAAACAAAAATACAGAAAGAAGTTGGCAATTTGTCGTGATAATGGTCCATAAACATAACTACTGAGAAGGAAAAAAAAAATAGAAGAAGGTTATCTTAGTATGTGTGATCTCTTAGCGTTCTATTCTAAGACAAAAATAACATGTAAAACAAGACAAAAATGGTCCTAGCCAGTTGCTAAGTGGTTAGAGCATTGGCCTGCAGGCTGAAGGATCTAGGGCTCAATTCCAGTCAAGGGCACATACCTCCATTGAAGGCTTGATCCTCAGGCCTGGTAGGGGCAAGTGCAGGAGACAACAAATGAATGTTTCTCTCTGTGTGTCTCTCCCCCTCCCTTCCACTCTCTAAAATTCAATGGATAAAAAAAATATCCTTGGGTGAGGATTAACAAAAAAATAAAATTAAGAAAAACAAAAACCCAGACAAAAATGAATCTAAAAGCTTTCTTCCTCTCAATGGACTGGAATTGCTATTTGTTCAAAAGTTAGTAAAAACTATTTCTTTTTTACTTGATTTTTAATAAGTCCAGAAGTGGATTTTGACCAACCATGAGAACTTTTAATTAGTCTTTGTTTTGGTTGTAACTATCTCTTGCTAGACATTATGCCTTTTGAACTTTAATTAAAACACACTTAGTAATATTGTACAAACAACTACTCATATGTGGAATCAGGACATCATGTAGAAATATGCATTATAGGAATTTGAGTGCAGGTTACAGTGCGGAGTTGTGCCTACAGGAAACTGGCAGTGGGAAGGTTTTAGTGGGGAGATATGAGAAAATATGACAATGGTAACAGGAAGTTTCCTGCAGACTAGAGAGCCTTCTATCTGCAACCCAGTTAAGGTCAGCTAAGATTTCAAAAAGTACATAGTTGAAATGTGTTAATGTGATTACATTTGTAATCTAGGACCGATACCATTTGAGCAACCAAATTTATATGCTCTTCCACAATTCTCATTTAGATATTGTTCCCATATCCCTGCACAGGTTTTGTTGTATATATAATAATTGTATATTATTTTCTTATATGTAATTATAGAATTATAATTATAGAATCAGGCAGCATGGAGAGTTCAATTTCTTTTCCTGTTTTCTAATGTGCTTTTCCTTCTCTATCAGAGCTTTTCTTACATGTATGTTTCTTCGGAAATGCCTAGTCATAGCAGGTGTTGGTGTCCATTCCAAATCCCTTGGTTAGGATGGTATGCTCATCCCCCATCTGCTGCAGGCTCATAGTCTTTAGCTACTTTGCCTCAAGGTGCCTGGGAATTAAATTATTACCCATCACTCCTCATACTGGGATATATGGTCTCAAAGCAGCACAGCTTCTGCAGCTCCTCTCCTCATCTCCATCTCCCCACTCCTATTGTTTCCCTGAAATCATATTCTTGTGTGACTCCTTTTATTTTTTGTCATGCTAATCTCATTCCTCAATAAATCACAGTGTCCATGAACCTTTATCTCAGTTTCTGTTTCCAAGGAACCTGCCTAAGAAATTGGTATAACTTGATGCTTGAAGGAAAAAATGAATACTTCAAAATAAAATATGTTTTTTCTCTTATTTTGGACTTTTCCTCTAATTCAAGGTATTGGCACAGCTTTTGAACTTTATATTATAAGAGCATGAGTGACTAATGTTGTGTTTTATTCATTTAGAATTAACTAGTGTCTGTTATGGAAAGAGACCTAGCATTTTGGCCATAGAAGTAGGGGTAGCAAATAAGGTAGAGTTATGCTTCTCTCTCTCCTGAATATAACTTCACTTTCTTTGGGCTTTGTTATTGAAGAATTATTCCATTGGGTCTTGAAGGATTTCTGGAACTATGTGTCCCTGAGGTTTTAGAAATACAGTTGGCCTTTAAACAATGCAAGGGACAGGAGTGAAAACCCCTGCACAGTCAAAAAACCTGCATATAACTTTTGACTCTCTCCTAACGTAACTACTAACCACCTATTGTTTACTGGAAGCCTTACCTATAACGTAAACTTTCGATTAATACATATTTTGTATGTCACATGTTATTCTTCCAATAAAGTGACCTAGAGAAAAAAATGTAATAAAGAAAAATCATACAGAAAATAAATATTTATTTTTAAAACTGGGTATAAGTGGACTTGTACAATTCAAACCAGGTTTGTTTAAAGGTCAACTGTAAGTCATTAAGTAGGACACTTTTGCACTTTGGGGTGGTAAGAGAGAGAAATGCTGACTGGTCTAAATGCGGTACATGTACTTATGGCTAGGGAGTGGGTTGTTGTGAAATACCCACCGTGTCTTGTCCCTATTTTTTCTCAGTTTTTCTGTGACTCCATACTATGTGGCTTTTTCTTCTCTATGATACTGCTGCACCTTTCAGTCTATGTTAGTATCACAGTTTATTTGATAATATGATTCACCTGTGCCATGCTGACTGTTAGGGGAAGAACATGCTATAAGAATAGAGTCTTAGTTGTTTAATAAGCTATTCACTATATTAACTATAGAAAAGAGATTATTCTTGTAGAACCTGAGAAATTGGAGAACTTGTTGCAAGAAGAAAAACAAGGCTGTAAAGACAATGTGGCCTTGAAGCCCAGATGGGTCCTTTACTCTGAAAAGAAGACACGTTTTTATTGCAGATCAAAGAAAGGACCTATCTAAAGGGAGATATATTCTGGTGCTAATCTTTGCAGTGTTCTTGGGCTAATCTTTTCAAGGACAGTGATAGAAAACAGTCCCTGGGAGCTCACTAGTTTTAGCTTTTTTCCCACCCTCCAACCCTACATAAGGGCTGGTTTGAAATGAAATGTCAGAACAATTTCTTTCAGGTTATTATTCTTGCTGCTCTCTTGGATTGCTGGCCATATGAATAAAAACACACCACAAAGATTCAGCCTTGTCTCTACTTATTGACTTGTATAGTGACAGGCAGCAGGCTCCTTTCTTGTCCGGTTTTACTACTGGCTACACTAGGGGTGTCGAACTCAATCAGAGAAGGGGCCAAAATCTAAAATCCAGCCTAAATCGCGGGCTGAATGGTTTACTGAACAGTCATAAACTGTCATTGTGATGGAAACGCAGCGGAGTGCAGTGATGACAGCGCGGTGCGGGCCACATTGCAAGGCCTGGCGGGACGGATTTGGCCCGCGGGCCTTGTGTTTGACACATGTGGGCTACACCCTTCCTTGCGGAAGAAAATTTGTTGTTTTTTTTCTTCCATTTTTTGATGCTCTCCATTTCCAGCATGAATAAGTAGCACTCAATATATGACTGTCATCAAATGAATAGAGTTGGCCTTTTTTCTAGATATGATTGTATTGTACAGAACTTTTGAAAGAAACATTTCAATTCAAATAAAATTATAACGGACTATGGAAAGAGGATATATAGAAAGAACAGAAATTATTAAACATATATTATATACTAGAGGCTCAGTGCACGAAATTCATGCATGGGGGTACGGTGGGTGGTTGTCCCTCAGCCCAGCCTGCACACTCTCCAATCAGGGATCCCACTGGGATCAGGCCTAAACAGGCAGTCAGATTTCCCTCACAATCCAGGACTGCTGGCTCCCAACTGCTCATCTGCCTGCCTTCCTGATTGCCCCTAACCACTTCTGCCTGCCAGCCTGATCACCACCCTAACCACTCCCTTGCCAGCCTGCCCTCCCCTGCTGGCCATCTTGTGGTAGCCATCTTGTGTGTTGGAATGATGGTCAATTGAATATTACTCTTATTAGATAGGATAGAGGTAATCCTAGCCTCCTGGTCTTTCCAGCTCCATGGCTGCCACCATTTCTGTTTGGATTTATTTATCTTCTATTATTGAAACTTTGTAGCTTTGAGTGGAGGCCTAGGCCAGCAAGGGCAGGCGGAAAGCTTGGCTTCCTCCATTGCCAGGGAAACCCAAGCCTCCCTCCTGCTCTCTGTGACTGTAACCATCTTGGTTGGGTTTATTTGCATATTTGCCCCTGATTGGCTTGTGGGTGTGGTTGGTAGGTGTGGTTTGTGATGTGGCGGAGTGATGGTTAATTTGAATATTACTCTTTTATTAGATAGGATTACATGTTGGTATGTTGAAATTAATCTAAACACTAAAAATCTGCAGAGAGAGAAGGAAAATGCTGAGTATTGATACTGGATAAATGAAGTTTCATTTGGGTTAATCCAAAAAAGTAAATCATAAATTTAAGAATAAGAATGCCAATTCATTGCTTAAAACCCTTACATAAGGTCATGCAAACCATTAGTAGTATTTGGAAACAATTCTCTTCTACTTCACACAGGCTGGCGAGGAATAGGTTTTATTTCCATGCTCTGATTTCTAGAGCTACATGCAGAATGACAGAGAGGTGTCAGCCATATTTTTCTCATAGATTTCATTAAATTGTTTGTTCTGAGCTTCAGTGAAGTGATTTTTCCAATCTCCAATGACTCCTAAAAAGAGTAATGTAAAATTCAATAATACTGTTATGAACTTGGACCATTTTGCATTAGGTAATCCTTTTCCTATCAATGCTTAAATTCCTTACATAGACATAGTTCATTGTCCTCCTGACATTGAATGAGAAATAATATTACCCATGGCACAAGTGAGGTACTTGTAAATAAAAAGCTTTGTTCTGAAACACTTGAGGAAGGCTAAAATCTAGATCATGAGTTCTCTAATTCTCTGTATTGCATTCTTGAGCTCTCTAATCTACCAGTACTTTGTAAACACTTAGTACATCTAACATTCTATTTAAATTAATTGGATCTAATTTTCTTAGCTTCTCTTTACAGATTACTGGAGTGCTGTCTCCTCCTCTTATCTGTAGCTTTAGTTCAGGCAAAATTCATAGTTAAATACAAATGAGAATTCTCCTTTCCAATCTAAATGATCATTGCTGTTGCCCTAGCTGTGTTTGTTCAGTAGTTAGAGTGTCGGCCCATGGACAAAAGTGCCCCAGATTCAATTCTGGTCAAGGGCACATACCTTAGTTGCAGGCTCCCTGACCCCAGTTGGGGCATGTGTGTGAGGCAACCAATTAATGTGTGTCTCTCACATTTGATGTTTCTGTCTATTTCTCCCTCTCCCTTCTACTCTCTTAAAAAAAAAAATCAATAGAAAAAATACTCTCGGGTGAGGATAAACCAAAATAAAAAATAAAAAAATAAAAAATAAATAATTATTGCTTTAATGTATAAATAAATTAAAGCAATCCTATGTAATAAAAGACTAATATGCTAAGTGTCCGGTCATCCAGTGGTCTGTTCAATCAATCCAAGTACAATATGCTAATGATATGCTAAGGCTGCTCAACTGCTTGTTATGTCATGCATTGACCACCAGGGGGCAGGCGCTCCAACCAATAGGTTAGCTTGCTGCTGGGGTCCAGCCAACTGGGACTGAGCAAGATGGGCCAGACATATCCTGGAGCCCTACTGCAATCCCTAAAGGCTGATCAACCTCTGTGTTCCACCCTGGCACCGATCGTGCACCAGTGGGTGCCTTAGCCTGGCCTGTGCCCTCTCATAATCTAGCATCCCTCAGGCTATGTCAGAGAGCCAGTTTTGGCCCCATCCTGCAGGCCAGGCTGAGGGACCAAACTGGTGCACGAATTTGTGTACTGGGACTCTAGTATAATATAAAGGAGTGTAGGGTTGGTTAACTTTGTTTCATGCTTATGCAATAGAGTATTCATATTTTTTTACTTTCAATAGCTAAAAATGGTCAGAGAGACCATAGAAAGCTATTTCTCTTTTGATTATACTATGTTGCCTTCATTTAGGCTCTTATATCTGTGCAATGTTATTTTCATGTATGAAGTGTCAATTTGCTTAATTTTCTAGGTTTAATAAATTATATGATTTGTCAATTGCCTGCAAGAAAATTAGGTGTCCAAGAGGCATCAGAGAATTGGTAGAGGAGACACCAGCCTTCATCACCCCAGAAAAACTAATAATTAGACAGCGATCATGAACAAAAATAGACCTGGGAAGGCTTCAAGTGTCTAAGAACCTGAAACAACTCGGTGGGGGAAAAACAAGAGCATAACCATACAGAAAGAATTGCTGAAGAGATTGACATAGCTGACATATTTGGAGATGCTAGGAGCAAAAAAGGGTGAGGCTATCAGTATTAAACACACAGCAGGTGTCATTGTGGTTCACAGTGGCCTGCTCTGGAGAGGGCCTGGTAGTCTTTGTCACCCTTGAGCCTTAATAATCTTGTGACATCGACAACCACCCTGTGGCTTTCACAGAAGAGGACTCCAGAGTATTTGTCAGCATGGACTCCAGTGGCTTCCTCTATAAAAACAAACAAAACAAAAAACAAAAAACAAACAAACAAACAAAACCCACACACACAAAACAAACAAACAAACAAAAAAAAACAAACCTGGCAATTTTTCCCACTGAGGTAGGCAACAACCATCACCACCACAGAGCCCTCTAAAGAGGGAGACACTACTATGTGTCCTCTTCTCCAAGAAAGAGCCACTGTTGTGCTGCTCTGAGATCATGGCCTTTACTTACCTCAGCCCCATGCATGCACTGGACCCAGGGCCCAAGACACCCCAAGCATGCCCATTCTCCATAGCCAGACCCCACAACCACTTAATATGTGCCTGGATTGCAGACTCTGGCTCCATGACCCCTTTATGAGCAACAACACCAGAAATACTAAAATCACCAATGCAGTAAGTGCACCCATGCCCCATACTTCAGGGCTGTAGCTTGTCTGCATGTACTTGCAATCTGTACTCTGGCTCTACAACTATTCTCTGTGAGTGCCCATACCTAAGACTCTGGAGCCACCATCACAGTAGCCCTAAAACCTGGATCCATTGTAATCCTGTGAGGTCCCACACTCTAACCCCTGGTCACATGCTTCTCTCCTGTAGGAGAAAAAGAAATCAGGAGGACCTCAGCATCCTTTGTGAGGTCCAACATGCTGCTGTGACCACCTGCTCTCAGAAATGCAGGGGCCTCTGCAGTCTTCACTGATGCTGACTCAGTTGATGGAATGCCACAGAGCCCATACTGCTGTGCTCTCCCTGGAGTCAGAATTGCTGCAGCTCACCCAGTCAGTGAGCCCACACCACCCATAGGTGAAGGTCTTTCCTCACTGAAGCCAAATCACAAAGTCTGGAAGAGTGACTACTTCATCAAATCAACACAAGACTATGAGAAACATGAAAAAAATCAAGGAAACATGACATTGTCAAAAAGACACAATTGTAACCTACTCCAAAGGAATGGAAATCTATGAATTGCTGGATTAAGAATTCAAAATAGGGGTTAGAGAGCAACCAAAGGACTTGTATGCGTGCGTATTAGCATAACCAATGGACACAGACACTGGAGCTGTGGGGGCTTAGGGCCCAGGGTGGGAATGGCTGGGGGTGGGTGGGGTCAATCAGGGAAAAAGTAAAACTTTAATCAATAAATTAAAAAAAGAAAAGAAAAAAATTTAAAATAATTGTTTTAGGGGTTCAGCAAGCTACAAGAGAACATAGACAACTCAAGAAAATCAGGAAAACTATACATGAACAAAATGAAAATTTAAACAAATAAAAATCATAAAAAAATAATCAAACAGAAATTCTGAAGCTGAATAATACAATGAATGAAATGGGGATAAAATAGCAGATTTGATCAAGCAGAAGAAAAAAAAAATCTGAGAAAACTGAGACAAGCTACTTAAATAACCCGTTAGAAAAGCAAAAAGAAGAAGAATTAAAAAGAAGAAAGAAAGTCTATGGGATTTATGGTACACCATCATGAGGACTCATATATGAATCATAGAAATACTAAAAAGAGGAGAGAGAAAAGCGCAAAGAGCTTACTTAAGGATATCATGGCTGAAAGTTTAAAAACTGAGGAGAGATATATACATCCAGGAACATGAAGCTCAAAGGTCCTTAAACAGGTTCATCCCCAAAGAGTTCCTCACTGAGACAGTGTAATCACACTGTTCCAAAACAAAGATAAATAAAATTGAAGGCAACGAGAGAAGAGAGACTCTTCAGACAAGGAACCCTAATAAAACTATCAATAGATTCTTAGCATAAACCTTGCAGGCTAGGAGAGAGTGAGATAATATATTCAAAGTGCTGAAAGAAAAACATACACCTGTCAACCAAGAATATTTACCTGCAAAACTGTCCTTCAGAAGTGAAGGAGAGACTTTCCCAGGCAAACAGGAGCTGACAGAGTCAGTAACTACTAGACTTTCCATACAAGAACTACTAAGGGAGTTTTTTAGGCTGTAACAAAAAGGTGTTCATTTGTAACATGAAAACATGTGAAAGTAAAAACTCACTTGTAAAACTTAGTCTATAGACAAATTTAGAATACAGTTAACTCTAGAACACCTTGGGTTTGAATTGCATAGTTTTACTTACGTATTTTCCGGCATATAAAACGACTCCCCTAATTTTACAGTTAAAACATAGGTTTAGGCCTATATTCGCTGTATAAGACTACTCCCCACTTCAAAGAAAAGACTTACTTTGCCATCAAGATCTGTAGGTAATTTTTGTGCAATTTTGGTCTTTTGCCCCCGATTTTCGGTTGACTTTTTTTCGTTTCAAAAGTCGTCTTATATGCCAGAAAATACAGTATTTGCAAAATTTTCACTCAATAAATATATAAAACTAGAGGCCTGGTGCACAAAATTTGTGCACAGGGTGGAGGGGTGTCCCTCAGCCCAGCCTGCACCCTTTCCAATCTGGGACCCCTCGAGGGATGTTAAACTTCCCGTGTAGGCCCGATCCCGGTCGGGAATTCCTCTCACAATCCAGGACTGCTGGCTCCCAACTGCTTGCCTGCCTTCCTTCCTGATTGCCCCTAACTGTTTCTGCCTGTCAGTCTGATCACTCCTTAACCACTCCCATGCCAGCCTGATTTATGTCTAACTGCTCCCCTGCCAGCCTGTTTGCCCCCAACTTCCCTTCTCTGCCAGCCTGGTCACCCCTAACTGACCTCCCCTGCAGGGTTGATCGCCTCTAACTGCCCTCCCTTGCAGGCCTGGTGCCTCCCAACTGCCCTCCCCTACTGGCCATCTGTGTCCACATGGGGGCAGAATCTTTGACCACACAGGAGCAGTCATCTTGTGCTGGAGTGATGGTCAATCTGCATACTATGCTTTTATTAGATAGGATAGAAGCCTGGTGCATGGGTGGGGGCCAGCTGGTTTGCCCTGAAGGATATCCCAGATCAGGGTGAGGGTTCCCTTGGGGTGTGGGACAGCCTGGGCGAAGGGCCTGTGGTGGTTTGCAGGCCAGCCACGGCCCCCCGGCGACCCAAGCAGAAGCCCTGGTATCTGGAATTTATTTACCTTCTACAATTGAAACTTTGTAGCCTGGAGTGGAGGCCTAGACTGGCCAGAGCAGGTGGAAAGCTTTGTTTCCTCCATTGCTGGGGGCAACCCTAGCCTGCCCTTTCCAGCTTCATGGCTGCCGCCATTTTTCTTGGGATTTATCTTCTATAATTGAAACTTTGTATCCTTGAGTGGAGGCTAGGGGAAACCCAAGCCTCTCAACTGCTCTCTGTGGCTACAGCCATCTTGGTTGGGGTTAATTTGAATACTCGCTCTAATTGGCTGGTGGGCATGGCTGGTGGGCATGGCTTGAGTGGAGTTATTTTGCATATTACTCTTTTATTAGGTAGGATACTGTAAATGTATTTTCTTTTCCTTTTTGATTTTCTTAATGACATTTTATTTCTTCCAGCTTACTTTAAACTAAGAATGCAGTATATAATCTATACTAATAAAAGGGTAATATGCTAATTAAACCATACGTCTTCCAGACAATCTTACAGATGTCTTCCAGTGGCAGGGCCCAGGCAGAAGCAGTTAGGGGCAATCAGGCCAACAGGAGATAGCAGTTAGGGCGATCAGGCCAGCAGGGAAGCAGTTAGGGGCATTAGGCAGACAGGCAGGCAGATTGGTTAGGGGCGATCAGGCAGGCAGGCAGGTGAGCGGTTAGGAGCCAGCAGTCCTAAATTGTGAGAGGGATGTCAGACTGCCAATTTACCCAATCCTTATGGGACATCCCCGAATGGTTCCAGATTGGAGAGGGTACTGGCAAGGCTGAGGGACAACCCCCTATGCACGAATTTTGTGTACTGGGCCTCTAGTACATAAAGAAAATATGTTAATCAACACTACATGTTATTAGTAAGGCTTCTGATCAACAGTAGGCTATTAATATTTATGTTTTGGGAATCAAAAGTTATATATGGATTTCTTACTGTATAGGAAGTTGACACTCCTAATCTCCATCTTGTTTAAGGGTCAATTACACTCTAAAACTAGAATAGTGGTGTATAAATCATCTTTAAACCAGCACAAAGGTTAAAAACAAAGTATTAAAAATAACTATAGCTATAATAATTTTTTAATGGATACAATATAAAAATATGTAAACTGTGATATCAAAAAATGTAAAATGAGCCGTAACTGGTTTGGCTCAGTGGATAGAGCATTGGCCTGTGGACTTAAGGGTCCCAGGTTCGATTCCAGTTAAGGACATGTATGTTGGTTGCGGGCACATCCCCAGTAGGGTTGTGCAAGAGGCAGCTGATCGATGTTTCTCTCTCATTGATGTTTCTAACTCTCTATCCCTCTCCCTTTCTCTCTGTAAAAAATCAATAAAATATATTTAAAAAAGCTCACCCTCTCATAAAAAAAAAAAAAGTAAAATGGCTGAAACCGTGGATAGAGCATCGGCCTGTGGACTAAAGGGTCCCAGGTTCGATTCCAGTTAGGGGCATGTACATGGCTGTGGGCACATCCCCAGTGGGGTGTGTGCAAGAGGCAGCTGATCGATGTTTCTCTCTCATCGATGTTTCTAACTCTCTATCTCTCTCTCTTCCTCTCTGTAAAAACAATCAATAAAATATATTTTTAAAAATGTAAAATGTGGGGGAGGGAGTAAAAGGGCAAAGTCTTATATGCAATTAAAGTTAAGTTGTTATTAGCTTTATGGAATCAAAGCAAAACACTACAAAAATAATTAGTCACAAATTAAAATAGCAAGAGAAGAAGAAAGGAGAAAACTATAAAAGATTCAGAAAATAATGAACAAAATGGCAATAATAAGTCTTTATGTACCAATAACTTTTAATAATGTAAATGGTTTAAGTTCTCCAATCAAAATAAATAGAGTGGCTGAATAAATAAAAAACAATTTCAGCTTTAAGGAATAGGTTGAAAATGAAGGTTGAAAATTCCACGAATATAAAAACCAAAAGAGAATAGAAGTACTTAGACAAGATAAATTTTAAGTCAAAAACTGTCCCAAGAGACTAAGAAAATAAAGAAATCAATTTATAAAGAGTACATAACAATTATAAATATACTAGAGGCTCGGCTCACAAAATTTGTGCACTGGGGAGAGGTCCCTCAGCCCAACCTACTGGGAGTCCTCAGGGGATGTCCTACTGATGGCTTAGGCCTGCTTTCTATTGGGAGCGGACCTAAGCTGCAGTCTGGCCCCCCTTTGAGGGAGGTGACTGGGCTGATCAGGGGAAGGCGCCAGCTCCTCCATCACCCCGCTGCTGCAGCCACTGCCAGTCACCACAGCCACCAAGGTGTTTTCATCAACATGGACTCCAGTGCCTTCACTATGAAAAAATGACAACTTTCTTTAAGCATTTTCAAGATGTGTCTTTCATAGGATATGACATTTCTTTCTTTCTTTTTCTTTTTATCCTCACCTAAGGATATGTTTCCATTGATTTCCCCACCCTTCCTTCTGATCCCAGGCTCAGGCCCTGTCCCCTGCCCTTCTGATCACCAGCTCAGGATGCCCAAGCTTTAGGCTTGTGAAGGGGGTCTCCTCCCGCCCCTCCAATGGCCACTGAGAGTGACCTGGGTGCCAAGGGGGTACCCGGGACCCAGGTATATATGCTAATTAACCTCTATCTTTGTTGGGTTAATTTGCATACTCACTCTGATTGGCCGTGGGTGTAGAGGAGGTATGGTCAATTTACATGTTTCTCTATTATTAGGTAAGACTAGAGGCCTGGTGAATTAATTCATGCATGGTTGGGGTCTCTTGGCCTGGCTGGTGATCAGGACCGATTGTGGGGGCCAGCCAGCCAGGGGAGTGTCTGTCCCCCGGTGATCAGTGTGCATCATAACAACTGGTCGACCAATCATTCTAGTCATTTGGTCATAATGGTTGCTTAGGCTTTTATATATAGATAGATATTCACCCAACATCAGAGCTTTTCAATATATAAGGCACATACAAACTGATCCAACGTGAGACATAGACAGCAATACCTCACTTTCAACAATGGATAGGTCATACAGGCAGAAAATAAATAAGAAGACATTGAACTTTATATCAAACCAGAGGCCTTAGCCCAGCCTGCACCCTCTCCAATCTGGGACCCCTTGAGGAATGTCTGCCCTAAATAGGCAGTTGGACATCCCTCTCACAATCCAGGACTGGTGGCTCCCAACTGCCCTCCCCTCAGGCCTAGTCCACCCCAATTGCCCTCCCCTGCAAGCCTGATCCCCCCAACTGCCCTCCCTTGCTAGCCTGGTTCTCCCCAAAACTGCTTTCCATTGCAGGCCTGGTCTCCCGTAACTGTTTTCTCCTGGAGGCCTGGGACCCACCAACTGCCCTCCCTTATTGGCCTGGTTTCCGCCAACTTCCCTTTTCTGCTGGCCTTGTCACCCCTAACTTCCTACAACTGCCCTCCCCTGCAGGCCATCTTATGTCCACATGGGGCAGCCATATTTGACCACACAAGGGCAGCCATCTTGTGTCTTGATGTAATGGTCAATTTGCATATTGCTCTTTTATTAGATAAGATGGACTTTATATATATGTCATTCCATCAAAAGCAGCAGTACAGAACACTCTACAGTATAGATCATTTGTTAGGTCACAAAACAAGTCTTACAACATTAAGAACATAGAGGGGGCCAGGTATTTATAGTCAATGAGGACCACTGCCCTGGGCCCACACCAGCCAAACCTGTCTCTGGAGCTCTCTATGTTCTTGCCCTCCCTGATCCCCCAAATTTTCCCTAACCTGCCTTCTAAGCTGCACTCAGAAGGACCTGACATTGTATTCACCAGGTTCATTTCTGGACACCAGCTTTACTCCTTTTGCTGCTCCACAACTACTCTTGAGCAAAGAAGAAATCTTGAAGAATATTACTGCATTAGACCTGTAACTATATATTTAATGCTGATCCTGGTTACAACTGCTTTTATACCTCCCTGCCAGGTTAATCTTCCTAAAGCAGAGCTCAGATGATGTCATTCCTCACACCCTTTGAGTAGTAACTCCTCAGCTTGGCTTTGAAGCTCACATTTCCCAAATGGACCACATAAAGAGATAGAAAACGGAGACTCTCAGCACCGTCCAACAACCTTTCTGATCAGTGGGATGACAGCTAGACAGAGCTCCATTAACCCAGGAATGAGACCCACCTTTGCTGGGGAAATGCCATAATTAGGCTGCTTGGAAGCAGGCACCTAAGTGTGAAGGACTGCCCAGAGTAAAGGGAGGTATGTGTTGAATGCACTGGGGAGGCAGAAGGTGGAGGGACAGCCTCTGGGATGATAAAAAGCTAGCTTGCTGTCTATCATCCCATAATCCCACGAGTCCTTGGTGAAAGTATTAATATCACAAAGTGCTTGGCAGGCACAGAATTCCATGGAAAGTAGTGAAGAGCTCTTGTGCATCTGATGTCCGTCTTAGCCTAAGGCAGAAAATCAGGACATCCTGCGGAAACTAACCTCAAGGAATTCTCAGAGGGATCTGAACTCTCCTAGTCCCTAAAATAAATAGGTGCTGGCACCATGTTTCCCTAAATCTCTGAAGGGTGGAGAGGTCCCAGCTTCATCTGGTTTACACGAGTATTAGTATTAGGATGAAGGTAGCTTATCGTCAAAAAATTTTTAAAAAAAGAAGGTAGACATCATATCAAGTATTTTTTCCAACCACAATTGTATGAAACTAGAAAATAATTTATGGATATTTCACAAATATTTGAAATTTAAAGCATACTTTTGCACAACTGATGGGTCAAAGAAGAAATCGAAAGGACATAAAAAGTCTTTAAACAAACGAAAGTGGAACATACCAAAACTTACAGGATACTTCAAAAACACTTCTAAGAAGGAAGTGTACAGTGTGATAAATGCCTACATTAGGAAACAGAAAGATATCAAGTATGTGACCTAATTGAATACTAGCTTGAGAGGAATAATAGCCTCCCAGAGATTAAAGACTTTACTTGAGAAATAGTTTTGGGTCAAATACATTTTTGAAGCTCTGAGTTAACAAAATCAAACAAATTTCTTCTCAGAAAATCTAATATGCTCATGTGCTTTAAAGGGGGGGCAGTGCATGTTTAAGTTTGTAGTTTCCCACATTTCTCTGTGAAACACGCTACATGGTCTAGGTCCCTTAATAAGGCTTTAAAGAACTCACTTAAGAAAACACTGGACATAGTGGATTCACTGAGCTTGAATGTTAGGAAACGATTTTATGAATTGATAATGTTTTTCCTATTACCAGAGAAAATACAAAGTGCATATATACATTACCTTTTCTCATGAATGGAGAAAGACGATGATTCATTTGAACATCATTTATGTAGTTGGTCATGGGGTTCCTTTTCATTACATCAAATGAAGTGTTATAGACAATTTTGTCTAAAACCTCTTCTTTTAGGTCCTTCCCCAGGAATTTCATAACTTTCCTAATTTCACGTTTTGGATCCTATAGGGGAGAGTAGAAGAAATGTAGTAGATTTTTTTATATATATATAAGGAAAAAATGTAACAATGAACAAATCTTAAAGAATTAAGCATTGGGATAATGGTTAAACCATTTTTAAAATTTAAAAAAATATATATTTTATTGATTTTTCCACAGAGAGGAAGGAAGAGAGAGAGCTATAAACATTAATGAGAGAGAAACATCGACTAGCACACCCCCCACCAGGGATGTGTCTGCAACCTATGTACATGCCCTTGACTGGAATCGAACCCGGGACCCTTCAGTCCGCAGACCAACGCTCTATCCACTGAGCCAAACCGGTTTCGGCTGGTTAAACCATTTAAAATCATATTAGTTTATGTTTAAAAGTAATTCTAACAAATATAATTCTATATTTAAATTTATGAATGTAAAATCAATAAGCATGTACATATAAAGTGTAATTGTATTAAAGCCCATTGTGTTTCATACTGTGTTATAGCCGATGCTAAGCGAACAAACAGAAAATTGTTTTATTTGGGAAGGTTATTATTTTACAGGTAGCAGATAAGAAGCTATTTGAGAGAATAGGTAACAGTCATTCAAAATAAACAAGACAGGTCTCCTCTTTGTGACTGGAGAAACACACACACAGAGCCCACATTTCTTGGGCTTTGATGTCTGATGACTCTGGATCATTGCTTATTCCTGACTCTGGACATGTTGGGTATACCTGTTTATAGATGGACCTCTTGAGAGTCCCTTATATTCTGTAATGGGTTCCTGCTTCATCCAAAAGTGAAGAAAAGGGGTCCGGCCCCCATTCGCTGTGGCTCTTTCAAATAGACAGAGGGCTATGCTGGGGAAGCGGAGGGCGATGCTGAAACTTAGGAAAGCTGCAGAGAGCAAGTATGGCCCCAGCCAAACATTTGGAAGGAAAGAAGCAATACATTATTTCTACCCAGAGTAGAAGAAGAAGAGAGGCCATGGTTAATGAAGGAAATGAGTTTGTAATCCATGTCATAAACCGAAGCTTTGAGAACCATGGACCAGTCAAGGGCTACATTTGCCAGGCATTTATTTTACATATAAATTTATGACAGACTTTGAACCAAAGATTACACATGTTGCTAATGGGAAACTTATTTAAAATGACAAAACTTAAAAAAATATTTATTATTATTGTTATCTTTAATCCTCACCTGAGGATATTTTTTCATTGATTTTTTAGAGAGAGTGGAAGAGAGAGGGAAAGACAGAGAGAAATATCGATGTGAGAGAAACACATCAAGTGGTAGTATCCTGCATGCACCCCGACCAGGGCCTGGGCCAGGAAGGAGCCTTCAACCCACATATGTGTCCTTGACTGGAATCAAACCAGGGACCCTTTGGTCCACAGTTCGATGCTCTATTCACTGAACCAAACAGGCTAGAGTGACAAAATTTCAATATATACTTGTTTAAAAAGTGAACAAATTAAAACAGCTCTAGTCTTAATAGTTCTTTCCTATTAAGAATCCTAATTCTTTTCTTTAAAAGTCAGAACAAATGATGGGGGAGATAGAGATCTTGGAAGGAGGAACCTGGAGAGCTAAAGAGGGAAAAACTTGTGGCTAAAACAGAAGATCTCTTCCATGCTTCTGAATGAGGTGGGAATTGCCCCTAGAGTACAGAGAGGCCAGCAGCAAGAAGCAGGCTGTGGAGTAAGGCAGGTACTGTACTGGTACCATGTTTGGAGCTTTGTGTGTCTGTCACATGGCAAGGTGGTTGGAAAAGTTGAAGGTGGCATGCAAAATATTTTGCATAGATAAGCTTTTATACGTTACTTTCCTTCATTGCTGTCAGGATCTGTAACTCAGGAAAAAAAATTCAAGTATATTTCTTACTTTCATCATTTCTTCATAGAAGAGATAGAGAATGGGGTGACTCTCTTTCTTCTTCCACCAGCCTTTCACGTGATCAAACCAGGAACCCCATACCACTGGAAGGAAGACACATAAGTGAGAGTGGGAAAAGACAAAAGAGAAAATTAGTTGTTTCCTCAAAATACAAATGGAAAGTGTGGTTGATCAATACAAGAGCAGAAGAACTTACTTTTTATACATCCTATATCCATATTATGCATTACTTTTCTTCCTTTTGGAAGCTGGCAAGATTACAATCAGGCTCTAGAGCCTATTGGGTTTGAATCTCAGTTCTGACATAGTTGTATGACCCTGGGCCACTTACTTAACCTCTCTTTGCCCCAGTTATTTTAATTCTCATCTCTGAAATCATCTCTTAAAATCAATAATAGTACCTACATCATAAGATAATATTATGATGTGTTAATTTATTCTGCAGAGCCTACTGTGTGCTCAGCACCATCCTAGGTAATGGGGATAGAGCAGTGGACAAGACAGGTGGACAGGTATTAATAGAAAGTCCTATTCTGAAAATGCATCTTGTAGGGGAGACAAATGAGTTAAATGTGAAATACATAGTATATGATATAGTGCATGTTTAGGAGAAAAAAAACAGAAAAGGAGAGGGAAAATGTTGGGTTTACATAGAAGGTTTAAATGTTCATAGTCTTGCCAGAGAAGGATTCTTTGAGAAAGCAACATTGAGTAAAAACCTGAAGAAGGAAAGTGCTTTCTGGGCAGCAGGACAGCAAGGTAAAGTGCTGAAGCAGGAACTGCCTGGTGTTTGAGGTATAGAAAGGCAGGCAATGGGACTAGGACAGAGTAAGAGAGGAGCAAAGGAACAGGAGAAAAAATGTGAGTGGAAAAGAGGCCTAACCCTATGGGCCTTATGGGTCACAGTTCAGGCTTAGGCTTTCACTCTGAGTGAAATGGAATAGCATTGGTGGGCTTTGAGCAGAGGAGTGAGGTGGTCTGACTTCCCTTTTAACTGAATCCCCTTGGTTTCTATGTGGAAAATAGATTTTAGCTTGGCAAGGTCAGAAGCTGAGAGATGGGACAGGGGCTATTAATTTTTTCAGGGAAGGAAGGTCTGATGGTAGATTGGACCAAAGTGGTTGGAGAAGTGCTCAGGATAGGTAAGATTCTGGATATAGTTTGAAGGTAGGGTTAACAGATTTGCTGTTGGATTGGATGTGGTGAGTAAAAAGAAAAGAGACCCAAGATAAGTTCAAGATTTTAGGCATAAGCAACTTAAGCACAGTCACAATTAACTAAGACGTGGAAGCCTCCAGAAGGAAAGATAAAAGTTTGGATTTGGACGTGTGAAGTCTGAAATGCCTCATAGTCATCCAAATGGAGAGGCCAAGGAAGCAGCTGGGTCTATGTATCCAACACAGGACAGAAGCCAGGAATAGAAGTGCAAATCTGTGGGTCATCAGCAGATGGACATTTGATACTAGGAGATGATTGGGAAAACCCCAAATCTCTCTCTCTCTCTCTCTCCCTCTCTCTCTCTCTCTCTCTCTCTCTCTCTCTCTCTCTCTCTCTCTCTCCCTCTCTCTTTCTCTCTCTCTCTTTGTGGAGGAGGACCCTCCAAGGTTTTGATTTCCAAGCTTTCAGCATGGTGTACAACTTAACCTCACACAGGACAAGATTAAGCTCTAATTTAGAAAGATCCATCTATACCTCAGCCCAGTCCCATGCTCTCAAATTCTTCAATTAGGTCACTTCTTTGTAAAAAGCATCTGACATCACTGTTAGAACATCCACTGTGAAATTTGCTGAAGACATTAAATCAGCAAAAGAATCTTAGGGTATAAATGAATCATTCTCAAAATCTTACCTAATAATAGACAAACATATAAATTGACCTTACCTCCACTATGCTCACAGCCCATAAGGAGTGAGTTTGCAAATTAACCCAACAAATATGGAAAGTTAGTTTGTATATGCAGGCGTGGAGCGGGTAAGTGGGGTGGGATGCCTGCTATGAGAGGGAGAGGGTGCTGAGGGAGCTACAGGAGTGGTGCTACGGCCGGAAGTGAGGACTTGCAGCTTCTGTGTGGCCAGGAGCAAAGCCAGGGAAGGAAGGCCTAATTTTTGCACTAATATCATGCAAGGGCCTCTAGATATCTTATAAGGAGCAAATTATAGCAATAATAGTTTTTGCCATTTAGGATTATAGAAATCAAATGGCAATTAAAGGCATATTTCTACACTTTACTGTGGACTCATGGAAAATAATACTTTTAAAAGTATTTGTATTGATTATTGAGAAAGGGAGAGGGAGAAAAGTAGAAACATTAATGATGAGAGACAATCGTTATCAGCTGCCTCCTACATGTCTCCACAATTCAGGCTTGTGACCTGACCCAGAATCTGAATCATGACCTTCTAATTCATAGGTCACGCCCAACCTATGAACTACACTGGCCGGGCATGTAAAATAATATTTTATCAAATTTATTCATAATTATTTTAGAGGTATAAGATTCAACTATAGGAGAACTGTAAAGGGCAATTATTTCTTCATAGATCAATATAAATAATTAGCAAAAGGATTTCAGACATTAACTTTGAGCTTAAATAATCAAGTAATGTAGTGCAAATGCTTAGGTTTTAATCATGTGAAGCTGCCAATTGAACTGCAGAGTAGAAAACAATCTGCTCTTATATTTATATTATACCTCCCAAAAGGTATAAACTTGAAAAAGTTTGCTTAAATTAGTTTTTTAATGTTTGAAAAATCTTGTTCCTATGAAGTATTCAGATAGACGCAAGAGTAGAGGCGATAGTATAACTGCCCATGACCCATTACCCAGTTTCAATAACTTAATCACTTTTAAAAAATATATTATTGATTCCAGAGAGTAAGGGAGAGTTAGAGATAGAAACATCAATGATGAGAGAGAATCATCGATTGGCTGCCTCTTGCACACCCCCTACTGAGTGAGGATCAAGCCTGCAACCTGGGCATGTGCCCTTGACTAGAACTGAACCTGGGACCCTTCAGTCCGCAGGCTTACTGTTTTATCTACTGAGCTAAACCAGCTAGGACAATTTAATCACTTTTTAATGTTCTTCAGGAGAAGGACTGATGTATTTTTTAAAATATATTTTATTGTTTTTTTTCACAGAGAGGAAGAGAGAGGGATAGAGAGTTAGAAACATCAATGAGAGAGAATCATCGATCAGCTGCCTCTTGCACACCTCCTACTGGGGATATGCCCGCAACCAAGGTACATGCCCTTGACCAGAATTGAACCTGGGACTTTTCAGTCTGCAGGCCGACACTCTATCCACTGAGCCAAACCGGTTTCGGCAAACCTGAGACTCTTCAGTTCATAGACCAATGCTCTATCCATTGAGCCAAACCAGTTGGGGCTGGACTGATGCATTAAATGGTCTAATAGTATTTGAGATTTAGAAAAAATCAAGAATCTTGTGGTAACTTACTTTTGACACTGGAAGCATGATTGTAGTTTGTTACTTCAAAGCACCATGGGCCACCATGTTACCAATTCATGATGGTCATGGTTAGAAAACTTGATCATGCATAAAACCTTTCTCTCCAGTAGAACATGTAGGTAATTGGGAAGACATGGCAGCCAAATACACAGGATTTGAGCTTAATGAGGCTTGCCTATGTTCAAATTCTATTCCCTACTCTTGCTAACAGGGTAATCATCAGTTCTGTAAACTCAGTCTCAATTTCACCAGCTGTGAATTATGGATATTATTACTGTAAAGATTAAATAAGCAAATGCATTTAAAGCATTTAGTATAGGTTTAGAGTTGGAACCAACTTTTATTATATCTGCTTTCCCTACAGTACAGTTTTGGCTTTATTAATGGGACATATTGTCATTGGGCACAGATACACTGACCACCAGTGACAAGTAACCAGAGCTATGCCACAACTCTCAGGAATGTTGCCTCTTACCTTCCACCCCCTATAATCAGAGTTTCTTCTGTGAGTGAATTTCATGGAGAGAATTTTATAGAAAGAAGAATTTTATGAGGAAAATTTATCCTCCGCAGACATGGGTAAGACTGGTTCCTTCCATTTGGCTTACCTTTGCCTGACAGGAATGTTTCAAAGTACTGATCCCAGCTTCCTGGGTCTGGGAGTGCTTTGTTCATCTTTTGAAAATAGTAGTAGGACACCATGTTGTCCTTGACATTCCTTGCCACATAAATTATCTAAAGTGGTCAGAAGACATGGAAGAAACAAAATGTAAATGAAAAAAAATTATAAATTGAGCATTTAACGTGCATAATAGCACCTGTCTGTGTTCACAGACCAAGTTTTATTTTATTTTTTTAAAATATATTTTATTGATATTTTACAGAGAGGAAGGGAGAGAGATAGAGAGCTAGAAACGTCGATGAGAGAGAAACATCGACCAGCTGCCTCTTGCGCACCCCCTACTGGGGATGTGCCCGCAACCAATGTACATGCCTTTGACCGGAATCGAACCTGGGACCTTTCAGTCCGCAGACCGACACTCTACCACTGAGCCAAACCGATTTTGGCCACAGACCAAGTTTTAAAGGCCAAAAATACGTTTTTGTTCTCTTCCACTCATCTTATATCAGCCAGTAAAAACTTGTAAATATGAAAATCTGATCAAGTAGCTCCCTTGGGTAAAACTTCAATATCTGTTCATTGCTCTTAAAATTAAGTAAAAATTCTCAACCTGATGTGTAAGGCCCTGGGTAATCTGTCTCTAAGCCAGCTTCTAATTTCATTTTGGTCACTTATTCCACAGTAGCACTACTTTTCAGTTCTCTAATCTTGTGGCCATTGTTTTCAGGGTCTTATTCTGCCATTCCTCTCTTTTTACAATGATGGACATCAATAGGACTGTGCCTCTCCTTTAAGTAGCAAGCAAAATGTTGTATAGGTATGTAGTTTGACAGAAGTGAAGACATGACTTATTTCTGATTCTCAGCAGGGTCTGTGATCACTGAAACTTTAAAACCTTTAATTTAAATGTTGGGGGGTTTTAGAGCTCTGTTTGAGGCCTATGTTTATTCTCATTTTGTTCACCCCTTTTGCCACCTTCTTCTGTTGCTCTAAATTTCACATATTTATGACAGATTTGTTCCCAACACATACCACTCTTTTAAGCTACATGCTTTTATATCTATACTTGAATGCCTTTCAGGCATTTCAGACTTAATGGGCTCAAGATTAAATTCATATTCAGATAAACTTACTTTTCTCCTTCATTCACTTTTTTCATTAATGGTACCACTACCAAACAATTAAAATCACAAAATCATGATGATTCTTTTTTAAACTCTTCCAAGCCAATCCTTGACCAAGTACATAGATTCTGTCTTTTCTTTACATTTGCAATTCATCTCCTTACTGCCCATATTTAATTTTTAAATTTTATTTTTAAAATTAAATTTATTAGGATTACATTGGTTAATAACATTATATAAATTCCAGGTATACAGCTCTATAATACATCATCTGTATACTCCATTGTGTGCTCATCACCCAAAGTCTAGTCTCCGTCATCATGTATTTGACTTCCTTTAACCTCTCTATCCTAATTTAAGTCTTCCTAATTCTTTTTCTGAACTATTGCCACCATCTCCTCATTGACATTCATTAGTCTTGAGCAAGTTGGTGTGGGGGGATTTCTTTTGGGGGAGTGTTCTTTAGGGATGCGTAGTGGCTTTCTGTAGGCGGGTGTTGCTGGGAGTGTGTGAGTGTTCTTCCTTTCCCCTCCCCTTCCCCTCCCCTCCCCTCCCCTTCCCCTCCCCTCCCCTCCCCTTTCCTTCCTTCCTTCCTTCCTTCCTTCCTTCCTTCCTTCCTTCCTTCCTTCCTTCCTTCTTTGCTCTTTCTCTCCCTCTCTCCTTCATTTCTTCCTTTTTTCATTCCTTCCTTCCTTCTCACCAGAGGATATTTCCCCATTAAGTTTTAGAGAGAGTGAAAAGAAGAAGGCAATACAGAGAGAAACACATTGATTGGTTGCCTCCTGCATGCACCCCAACCAAAGCCAGGGCCAAGAAGGAGCCTGCAACTAAGTACATGTCCTTGATCGGAATTGAACCTAGGACCCTTTGGTCCACAGTCTGATGTTCTATCCATTGAGCCAAACTGGCTAGGGAATCCAGTTCTTTTTGCCCCTCCTTTAGCATGTTCCCATGGGATCTTTCTAAAATGTAAATGGGCTCATTCATTTTATTGTTCAAATTCTTCTATGTGACTCAAGTCCAAACATTTAGCATGGCAGCCTTTCAGGCTTCATTTCTCATCTTAAATCTACCTTTTAAGTAAAGGAGTCATGGCTCTTACCCATCTGGTAGATTGGAATGCTCTCCCATCTCTCATCTCTTGGCAATTTCCTATTTACTTCTCATGATCATCTCCTCTGTCACCCTTGCCAACCCTCCTTGTCAAGGAATGAAGTACTCTCACCTTTCTGTCCTCAGAACACCTTACCTAGATCTTATGGTGTTTTACTGTTACCCCAACTCAGTTCTGGTTCTGTCTACACTACCAATATATTGACATTGGTCTTTAGTCATTTTCCCCCCCGGACCTAGAACTACAGAAAAATATGTGCAAGGTAGAGTGATTAAGGCTCTAGATACACCCAGGGATGGTATAAGGTATGGCTCTTGACAAGACTGTTAAAAGGCACAGAACTATTGCATGGAGAGGGAAAGTCAATGTCTCCTTTGGCTAATTGCCAAGAGCACTTCTACAGATTCTCTGTAGGTGAGCACTTCTTTAGACTACAAGTCAGCAAATGGTTTCTTGGGGCTCTGAAAGAGTTATAATGAGATCTTTAGGGACCAACTCATGATATGACAAATTGCCAGTTATAAAAACAGACATGGGCTCTCCCCCATGCCCCCTCTAAGTGCATTGTCCACTGTTACAGAGAAGACAGGCAAGATGGGGATGGGCTGCAGCTCTGGGAATGGAGATGAGGAGGCACAGGACTTTTCTCATTAGGAGAAGTGGTTGTGGGATCCAAATAACAGGATGAGCAGTGGAAAGAAAGCAAAATAAACATCTCAAAGATCTTTTACTAATATCCTTCACCACAAAAATCATACCGACCTTGATTACAGTGTATTTCCTGTGAGTCAATCTTCTCATCCCCAGACATGGCTTAGGCCCAGGACTCCGCTGAGCAACTAGGCCAGAAGATCTGCTGTTCTGTGCTCTTCCCACTTCAGTTCACCCCAATCCATTCAGCACTTCAGCCAAAATCCTTCAACTCATCCCAGACTTTTTTCATACTCTCACACCCCATAGCTTGTATGACAGCAACTTCAACCCCACTTTCAACATATATGGAGAGTCCATCCATTCCTCTGCTTGTCCCACTGCTGTCTGCTCTGTCACAGCTGCTAGCCAAATCTCTGAGAAACCTAAAATAGATCATATCCTTAGCCTACTTTAAAGAAGAAGAGGAAGAAGAAGAAGAAGAAGAAGAAGAAGAAGAAGAAGAAGAAATCTTATATAATAAAGAGGAAATATGTAAATTGACCATACACCATCACAAAGGTGGTGGTGCCCATAGCCACAGATGGCGACACCCAGTCTCCTCAGCCCTGCCAAAGTCCCACAGTCCTTTCAGCCCATCCAGGGGGCGGCTGGCACATGGTGCGGCTGGCCTTGCCCTAAGCCCCCCAGCTACCCAGTGCTGGCCCGAGGTACAGGCAAGCCTCAGATGGTGGCTGCCTAGCTACCCAGAGTTGTATGAGGCTCAGGTAACGAGGGCCAGCTGAGACTTGTACTGTCAGCATTGGCACAGCAGAGGTGTAATGGGGCATCACTTTTCCCTGATCACCAGGTGGCCTCCTACCCCTGAAGGCTCCAGGAATGTGAGAAGGGGCAGGCCAGGCTGAGGGACACCCCCGCTCCAGTGCAAAAATTTTCATTCACCGGGTCTCTAGTGGGGATATAAAGTATAGCTTAGGGATTATAATCAATAATATCATAACAATTATGTGATGTTAGATGGGTACTAGACTTATCTGACGACTTTGTAAGTAACATAAATGTCTAATTACTATTAGGTCTAGTAATAATTAATGTCGTTTTCTAATACTTTTTTAAATCGAATTTATTTAAACAATACAACAAAATTTAATCAACAATATAGTTGCCGTTGTTTTCTACTACTTGTGCCCAACGCTCAGGAAGCATTTTAATCCCTCTGTTGTAAAATTCTTGTGATTTTGATGCAAAAAATTCGGTCAATGCATTTTTGAGGCATTCTTCATTATTAAATTTTTTTCCAAGAAGAAAGTTTTGCAAAGAACGAAACAAATGGTAATCGGAAGAGGCAATATCAGGAGAATATGCAGGTTGAGGGAGAACTTCCCATTCCAACTGGCGCAGTTTTTCAGCAGTGATTCTTGCAGTATGCGGTCGTGCGTTATCGTGGTGAAGAATTACGCCCTTCCGATTAATCAGCGCGGGTTCTTTTTCTCTTAAAGCTTGGGCTAACCTTTCCAATTGGGCACCATACACTGCACTTGTAATGGTTTGGTTAGATGGTAAAAGTTCATAATGAAGAATTCCTTTAAAATTCCACCAAACACACAACATCACTTTTTTCACATGCAAGTCAGGTTTTGGCGTGGGCTGTGGAGCCTCATTTTTGTCCAACCATTGAGGCCGCCTTTTCAAATTAACATACAGCACCCATTGTTCATCTCTGGTAACAATTTGCTCTAAAAACGGCAAACGGTTTTGACGAGAGAGGAGCGAACTGCAAATTGTGACTCTTTGATTATGGTTGTTGTCGGTCAATTCATGAGGAACCCATTTTCCAAACTTTTGGACTTTGCCAAGTGCACGCAATTGATTAGAAATTGTTTTTTGTGAACAATTTAAAGTTGTCACAAGCTCTTGTTGGGTAATTTGAGGATTTTGCACCAAAAGAGCTTGAAGAGCTTCTTGATCAAAATTGGACACACGGCCTCGACCACTCTTGTCATCTAACGAAAAATTTCCCTCGCGAAATTTCTCAAACCAACACTGGCATTTTCTGGCGCTAACTGCATCTTGACCAAGAGCACTACAGATGTTTTTTGCAGCCTCACTTGCTTTTCTTCCTAATTGGAACTCGTAAAGCATGCAGTGCCGAATATGCTCTTCATTCGCCATCTTCTTAGCCCTAGTTTTGCAACAAAAACCAAACCAAACACAAACTTTTTCAAGCAAAACTTGTTAATTGCACTTCACACGTTCTGTAGATACCACGTGTTTGAAGGTTATGTCAATACAAGTCAACGCCAAGCAAGATTTTAAACGAATGTTTAAAAACGACATTAATTATTACTAGACCCGATATGTTACACACCTGAAACTAATATAATATTATATGTAAACTGTAATTGAAAAATAAGATGTATATAAAAACCAATTTGTACTCCTATAGACTTCAATATATAAAATAATTTTTATGCTGACAAAAATTTGGTAAAATTATTTGGTTTTTATATCAGGTCTCAGAATGTTTAGAAGTTGTAAGCACCCTTAGAAGCTTGAAAGAGGCAATTTAGCTACAAGTGAAATAAAGTGAGAAGATAGTGGATCCCTTGGTTTGTAAGATTCCACCAATGAAATCTGATAACTTAAATAAATACTCATTACCTCAAGGCTAGGATCAGGCCAACAGAGTATAAGTTTAAGAAGCATGTTGTGGTTGTAGGAGGCATAGAGTAGGCAGCATAGAGTAGTGAAAAGATCATGGGTTGTCAGGTCAGAAAGAACTGTATTTGCAGCCCATCACTTCTATTTTCCAGGTGTTTATCATTGGACAAGTTGTGTGACATCTCTGAGCTGTAATGTGGTCATCTTTACTCCCCTTTATGGCATTATTGAGGAGCTGAGGATGTTCAGAACAAAGGCTAATAGATGTTGGTCCTCTCCCTCTTCTTCATGTAGGTGTAAACTAAGCCCATCCTTATCAATGAGAGATGAAGAACATGGAAGATAATTGCAGGTCTTATGATTGATTCCTTGGTGCTCCTCATATACACAACATGGGGATGACTGTACCATTGTTCTAACACAATATTCTTAGGACTATTTCCTGTTTCAAACTTACCTTACAGTTTTTCTCCCAGAAGGATGGAGGTAATAGTTGTACAGGAAGATGAGTTTTCAGTGTCCTCGGGGAAGGCATTGCATTAGCCTGGTCAATTCCTGAAAAATTATACTGGCTTATTATTTACTTTTTTAGAAGTTGTTATTTGTTATGCAATTGATCGTGTCATGTTTTTCAATTGTGACTTTTGGGTTTGATGTCATGTTTAGCCTTTCACCATTATTAAATGATAATAGCATTCTTCCCTGTTTTCTTTTAGTAGTTAGTACATTGTGTTCCACTTTTCATGTTAAAATCTTTGATACATTGGCCTTCACTTGGTGTCTTATTTACTATGAGAGGCCTGGTGCATGAATTCATGCATGGTGGTGGGGTTGTAGATGGAGGAAAGAACAAGGGAAGTTGGCCCTTGGCCCCCAGGGGAAAGAGGCCATATCCATCACCACCCACCCCTGGGTCCCCTCTGAGTCCGGGCCCAAAGGCCCTGGCAGGGTATGGAAAGGAAGTGACAGTCACTGGGCTGGGTGCGGAAGGAAAGAATGCTGGACATTGAAATCACTGTCCTGAGCACCACACAGTTTCCTGCCTCCTCTCACTACTATTGTGGTGGGAAGGTGGCCTCCAGGGATGGGAGAGGACAGGAGCAAGACAAACCCTAATATCAAGGGCTGACTTTCAATAAATGGCAGCGAGGGAGCTGCTCTGCTATGTATGCAATCCTGGCCCAGAAGCAGGTCTGTATGAATGGTTTAGCACCAGGGACCAATGAGGACCAACTGGCCCGGGGTTGGCTCTGGGAGCACACTGACCACCAGGGAGCAGCCTCTACATTGAGTATCTGGCCCCTAATGATCAGTACACATCATAGCGACTGGTTGTTCCAGTTATTCGGTCATAATGGTTGCTTAGGCATATAGATAGATATAGATATAGATATAGATATAGATATAGATATAGATACAGATACAGATATAGATATAGATATAGATATAGATATAGATATAGATATAGATTGAGTCCCCCTATCTATTTCTCATCTCATTAACCTTCACTAACTACAGCAGTATTTCTCAGCAGTAAGGGTTGTTGATACAAATACAAATTAGGACATTGGTCATAGATCATCCAAAGCATGCCTACATTATATTTTAAAGTTGCTATTCAAATAAAAGAATCAAGAAATTATTGTAGAGTTGTTAAGGACTTCCAAAGATATGTCCACAGATGGCCTCTAAGATCAAACCCAAATTACTTAGTGTGACCTAGAATAGTTTTCAAAATTGGTCCCCAGGTATTTATAACCCTCACTTTTGCCACTTTTCCTCAATGACCCTGGTTTGACACTGACCAAGCTCTTTTGAAAACATAGCACATGTTAGGCTAATTCAAAAAACAAAAAAGATAATCATTATAAAAGATAATAAAAAAAGATGATCATTAATTTGTTAATTCACTTTTCAAAGATGAATTCATTAGTCAGTTGTTTTAGATTAAATAATAATAGACTCTGGGACAGATAAGATGACAGCTGGCAGGACGGAGGTGAGGGAGAGGAAGTGAGTGAGTGAGGGATGAAAGGAGGATGTTTGGGTGTGTGTACGTGAGGGACAGTTAAGCTCCCACAGGAACAGTGAGGGCTGGCCGTCCAGGCTCTCTCGGGTCGGAAGAGACTATCACCACTGTAGGAATGTGGGACTCAGGCACGGAACCCATGCCATCTTGAAGGGGAGAACAGCCTTTTTTGAGGAACTCATTAGCACCACCACCCAGACAGGCCTTGGAACTGCCCACGACCCAGCAGCCACTCTAGTCAAAATCCTGCTGCCCCACCCACAGACCAGCAGACTCTGAGACCTCCACCTTCAAAGGTGCACCATTCTGGCAGCAGTTAGTGCAACTTCCCCCTCCCCCAGTGGTAGAACTCTGGACACCACATTCCTGCATTTCCAGCGCAGGCATCCAGGGCACATCACTTCATAGGCAGTGCCTGGGAGCCACTGTGAGCCCTGCTGGGTGTAATTTTGTAGAGACAAGGGGCACTGTCCCACAGTAGAAATTCTGAATTTCATTTTCCTAAATAACTGCCAGCTGTGCAGCTTCAGTGCAAGGGCCCCTCAGAGAGCATCAGAGCTCTGCGCTAGCAAAGGGACTGCCAAAGTCGTGCATTTTCAAGGAGAAGGTCCCCTGAGCCCATTTATCCACAGGGTGCTCTGGGGAGCTGCTGTGAGCCCCTTCTGAGTGCCATCTTGGACAAACAGCTATGCACTCCCCCCTGTCAGTAGAAATTGTGAATTCCTTCTTCCTGAATAACTGCTCATAGACACCCCATCTGCTCAACCTCAGTGCCAGGGCCCCTCAGAGTGCATAGAGCGCTGTGTCAGCAAATGCACCATCACAGTCACCCATTTCCACAGGGCAGGCCATAAACAGCGCATATCCACAGGGCACTTGTGGGGGCCACTGTGAGCTCTCGCTGGGTGTGATCTTAGAAAAAGAGGGACGCACTCCCCCCTGGCAGTAGAAATTCTGAATTCACTCATCTTGGATACCTGTCCACAGATGCCTTAATTACACAGCTTCAGTTCCAAGGCCCTTCAGATTGCTTCAATGCCCCTTGCTGGCAAATGCACCATGGGTGCCCCTGTGAGCCACCATTGGAAGCACATGCCTGCCACCACAGGTGCAGCAGCAAAAGCTGAGTCTGCCTACCCCACAAGTACAGAACTCTGGACACCACAGTCATACCTTTCCAGAGCACAGACTTCCTGAGTCCCATCTCCCCAACAGTTCCTGGGTGCCATTATGAGTCCCCACTGGACACATGTGATTTCAATCAAGGGTGCAAGACAGCAAAAATTGGGACACCCCCCTCCATGTATACTGACTTCTTAGCACCAAAGTTGCACCTTTCCAGCTCTCAGGCCTACATCAAGAGAACCCAAATAGCTCAAGTACAGAACTACACTAGATTACCAAGCTCAGGAGATATGAGAGATCACCATCACCAAAAGAAACTGGATAGCAAAGCAATCAGATCTACAATTAAAATGTTACAGCAAAACATGGGAAGACAAAAAAAAGCAATCCCCAAATGAAAGAAAAAGAGGAATCACCAGAAAGGGAGTTAAATGAAATTGAAACTAGCAGCTCATCAGAGAAAGAATTCAGAGTAATGGTTATAAGGATGTTTAAATGTCTGGATGACAAGTACACACGACTCAATGACAAAAAACCCCACACTCAATGAAAATTATAAGGATCTGAATGAGACTGTTAGCAACATGAAAAGGAACCAAGAGTAGATGAGAATGACATAGCTGCAATAAAGAACACAATGGAAGGCTTAAACAGTAGACTAGAAGGGGCTGAGACTACATCAGCAAATTAGAAGACAAGGTAGGAAAAAACACACAAACTCAGCAGCAACTGGAAAGAAGACTTAAAAAGCAAGAAGAAAGCCTAAGGGAGTTTTGGGACAACACAAAACGAAACAACATTTGAACAATTGGGATAACAGAAGGAGAGAAAGAGAAGCAAGAAATAGAAAACCTATTTGAAGAAATAATGACAGGAAACTTCCCTAATATTGGCAAGAAAACAAAACACACACACACACACACACACACACACACACACACACACAAACAAAAAACCGCATGCAAAGTCTAAGAAGCACATAGAGTCCCAAACAAGATGAACCCCAAAAGACCAACGACAAGATACATTAGCAAACACCAACGACAAAGTAAGATTCTTAATGTTATCAGACTGCCATACCAATATTTCAGTAATTTCAGAATCTGCAGCTATACTGCTGTACCTAATTTTTGGTACTTTGCCTAGTACAGGAAAATAATGCATCACAAACTAAGAATAACCAACCAATCATGGTCAAACCTCATGGTTAGCCATTGCAAATGTCTGCCCCCATGTGTTTGAATTGATTTTGTGTGGTTTGACGTGAAAAATTTCTGAAAATTCACAATGAAATGAGCTGCTGATGAACCAAGCACTTCAACAGGAAAGCAAAGTAGGTCTAGGCTTATCATAGTCCAACACGTGATCGATTCTTTGGTTGATTCAGACTCTGAGGAGTCAGAATTTAATCAAGAATATGTTTCCAGCCAAAACTGGTTTGGCTCAGCGGTAGAGCGTCGGTCTGCGGACTGAAAGGTCCCAGGTTCAATTCCGGTCAAGGGCATGTACATTGGTTGCGGGCACATCCCTGGTAGGGGGTGTGCAAGAGGCAGCTGGTCGATGTTTCTCTCTCATTGACATTTCTAGCTCTCTATTCAAAAAAAAAAAAAAAAAAGAATATGTTTCCAGTTCAAGTGACACAGACAGTGAGAACTCGAGTGATGAGGAGACTCTTGAACTTTATAGATCTAGAGCTAGATCTATAAAGTTCAAGAGTCTCCTCATAAGAGAAGGGGGCATGTCAAACAGCTGATGGGGGAGATCTAGTGATGAAGGTTGGACAAAGAATTTTATATCAGCAAATACAGATCTGAGTTTCAATGAGGATGGTAAAGGCCCAGTGATCATTCCTGGATTCATCACAGAGGAGAGTGAACTGATTGACTTTTTAATCCTTGTTTTTGGATGATACTTTCTGGCAAAATTTGACAGAGAAAACCAATATTTGGACCCATCAATTGCATATAGCAAAGCCCAAATCCTACAATGCCAAAAATTTCAAGAATGCCACAGTGGAAGAAATAAAGGCTTTTCTTGGACTGAGGACCTGTATGGAATACTTATGTATAAAACCCAGCTATGGGGATTATTGGACAAATGAAGGCTCTGACTTTGTTGGGTTTACTCCCAGATTTCAAAATGTTATGACTTGAGACAGATTCTTGGCCCTTTGGAGTTTTTTTACACATAATTGATGAGGAAGACACAGATATCGATAAGAAAGATAGAATATATAAAGTTAGGCATTTCTTAGTAAGTCTGCTCCCCAAGTTTTTCCACTTCTATCTGCAAAGCAACATTTGAGCCTAGATGAGGGGATAATCCCGACAAAAAAATACTTGGCCATCAAGCAATATATAAGGATAAGCCCACAAAGTGGGGCACCAAGTTTTTCCTTCTC